CCGAAGTATTATATAGTAACGATTCATCTTTAGATGAGTGTGAAAGAGAAGAGCATCTGTCACTTACCCCTTATTTCAGCTCAAATCCAATTTACCAAAGTATTATATAGTAACGATTCATCTTTAGATGAGTGTGAAAGAGTCAAATGTCTCTTACTCACCCCTTATCTCAGGCCAGATCCAATTTACCCAAGTTTTATACAGAAATGCTGACAATGTAGCAAGAGCCAACAGTGAGTAGAAACATGCACTATAAGAGACAATCAACCTGAAAAAAATTAAAAAGGTACCAAAAATTTTATTTAATATGTTACTTCTGAAAAAACAGATTATAATAATACAATTACATCAAAATTCCTTTATTTATTAACATCAGATCTCTCGCTGGACCATCTAATCACATTAATCTTGAACAAAAAATTCATTATTAACACTTACATCAATCATTTATTTTTTGATATATTTACCTTCCAGTATAAAAAAAATCCCATTTGCTCTTAACAGATAAAAAAAAAATTTTGTACTATACTTAAGCGTGCGTATTTAGTACTTCCAAAATATAATTAATCACACTAACACAAAAGTTTTGCCCAGTACACCAGTTGAAGGAATGCCCATTTTATACAAACATTCAGTTCCCTACCTCACCGTAACTGCATAATATTTGAGATAAAGTTAAATTAAATTATTATAAATGCACACACAAAGTTGATTTAATGCACAATAAAATTTGATTCATTAAAAATGGAGCACGTGCACCCTCTTCAAAAAAAAGACTTTAGATATTTCAGTGACAAAACGTGTTCTTTTATTGGTATTAATAACTTAGATTTTGCTTTTTTAAGAAGTACCCACTTATGAAGAATAAGAAGTTCTGAAACTGCTACTTGTGAAAATAACAGATTTATTTCTATACAACGTTTCGTCTATAACAGCAAATCATGATCACACACTTATACCTTGAATGTTGCATGTGATCATGTCTCACTGGCAGAAGTTAAACATTGTACAAAAATAAATCTATTGTTCCACAAATAGCTGTTTCAGGACTTAGATTTGGGGTTAAATTCCTCCCAAGAATACCACAATTGTATAATGGTGTGTTTTAATAAACCAAATTTTACTGTACATTAGGTGTATTTTTAATCTTTTATCTGTACACAAGTGTTATCTAACTTAGCTAAAAAAATTACTTGATTTGTTTCTAAATGTTTAGTTATAAAGATAAAATTATTTTTATAGTATTATAACTACAATATGCTGTTTAGAAAAATTCACTTAATTATAGCTAGCTTACATGCTAATCTAAAACACATATGTGAAGCATTTAAAAATTTTGAAACCTGGGTTTTAGTCTTTTATGACTTCTACCGTTTTCCACACAACGAAATCTGGGAAAACTACCTTAGTGTGAATGTTTCATAATAATGTGCTACCATATTATTTATCAGACAATGTACAAACTACATTAGTGTGAATGTTTCATAATAATGTGTTACCATATTATTTATCAGACAATGTACGAACTACATTAGTGTGAATGTTTCATAATAATGTGCTACCATATTATTTATCAGACAATGTACGAACTACATTAGTGTGAATGTTTCGTAATAATGTGTTACCATATTATTTATCAGACAATGTACAAACTACATTAGTGTGAATGTTTCGTAATAATGTGTTACCATATTATTTATCTGACAATGTACGAACTACATTAGTGTGAAAGTTTCGTAATAATGTGTTACCATATTATTTATCAGACAATGTACGAACTACATTAGTGTGAAAGTTTCGTAATAATGTGTTACCATATTATTTATCAGACAATGTACAAACTACATTAGTGTGAATGTTTCATAATAATGTGTTACCATATTATTTATCTGACAATGTACAAACTACATTAGTGTGAATGTTTCATAATAATGTGTTACCATATTATTTATCTGACAATGTACAAACTACATTAGTGTGAATGTTTCATAATAATGTGTTACCATATTATTTAT